ACGCCGTGCAGTGGCTGCGGGCCAACAGGGACAAGTTCAAGAAGAACATCTATGAACCTATCATGCTCATTGTAAGCAGCATTACACATTGTAGATCTAAATAATCCCCATTCTAGATCCAGGATAATCCTCAGGGCTGTTCCTAGGGAAAATAGAGGGGAAAGGGATGTAACGCCTGTATTGTCAAAGACCCCCTTGCCTGTATTTTCCTTTTTTACTGGTCAGACAGACAGTACTGTATCTGTATGTTATTTTTTTTCAGATGAATGTGCCAAATCGTGGCTATGCCCGGTATTTGGAGCACATCATCTCCTACAATGACATGAGGGCTTTTGTGTGTGAGGACCAGGAAGACATGAACAAGTTTCTCAATGAGGTATGATTTGCTTTTTGTTCTTCCAACTTTTTGTTGCATTTCTGTTGTATCAATTTTTTTTTAATATTTGTCACCAAAACAACAAAATAATTCACTTTGCATGTAGTAGGTAGTGGATTCGATTCTCTGACCAAGTCATACAAATTGGTACATACTGCTTCCTTGCTTAGTGCTCAGCATGGGAATGAGTATGGATGTTGAATACATCTGTGCCTGCACAGCTGTGTGGCCCAAGGGCTCAGGAAATTGAGATGGGCATCGCTTTATACATCTACACCATTAGGCCACAGCAAGTAATTTTTATGGATGACATCAGCGCGCGCATTAATTTTCGCCTGATTTTGGAAAAAAAACAAGAAATTTTGTTGCCTTCTGACAGTAGCCACCATGCCAAAAATGGGCAAAGATATCTGTTGCCATACCGGAAGGTGGATGGCAGATAACTATGAAGAGAGGAGACAAGAAAAGGCTCTGATTTAACGTTTTGATGCAGTGATATGTGATGCTGGCTGTGTATATGTGATATTCCCACTGAATCAAACCATTTGTACAATGGTTGAGTCAAAATTTTGAAATGTAGGAACTTTGTTTATTTCGGCCCGCCTTGTTTTTTTTCGCCCGCTCGCATTAGATTCGGAGTCTGTGGAGGATGTCATCCATAAAATTTACTTGCTGTGGCCTTACGGGGTCTCCATAAGGCCATCCCCATAGTTAATTTGATTTGACCTAAGTTTGACCCACAGTGTTCCTGTATGACAGGTGAGAGATAACCAGAAGCTGAAGGTGAATGCTGTCAGGGCTCCCAGCAGGCCAGTGTCTGAATTTGTGTCACAAAAACCCATACAGCAGCTCAGGTAGGCTGTCCACTTTCTGTATGTTAACAGTATCCTGTCATTTTCTACAAGAAACTGTCTATTTTTTAACAGTGCTTTGAATGATATTGAAGCTTGATGACTACTGTCCAAATCACCATCTACCTTTTAAACTTTTGTCCCAGGGAAAGGTACGATTTCCAACACTACCTGAAGGATTTGTTTGAAGCCCCAGAACCAGTCATGGCATACCTGTGTCAGATGTACCACCTACAGGACGTCCCTATTGGCACTGAGAACACCAAACAGAACATAGAGAGGGTGAGTATGGCAGATTTTTGAACTCCTCATCCTGGGTGGATAAGTCTTGATGTTGCTTGTGCAATGATTGTGCTAGTGTAATAGTGCCATCCATTCTACTTCATTGTTGTTTTGACCTTTAACTGCAGGTGCTGAGAGAGTCAGGTGTTCGTTGCATCTACACCCCTGGAACCCAGGTGAGAAAAAAGTACCTTCTGAAGTAAAAAAAAAGAAGTTGTGTTGCACTGTTGCTACAACTAATGATCCACCTATGTGTGTGTTCTTTTCTGGCTTTATTCTATATTAGTCAATGTTGATCTTCCTAGGATAATTTTTTACAATCATGATGAACCC